GCTAATTTTTGTATTTTTAGTAGAGACGGGGTTTCACCATGTTGGCCAGGCTGGTCTCAAACTCCTGACCTCAAGTGATTCACCCACCTCAGTCTCCCAGAGTGCTGGGATTACAGGCGTGAGCCACTATGCCTGGCCTTTTCTTTCTTTCTCTGTTTCCATGTGAATTTGACAGAACTGTTTCTAGCTTTTTGTTGAAGCAGACTCTTTATTCTTGCACTATCTCATATAGTCTTCCTAATAACCTGCTATGGGTATGTACCACCATGATCCCAATTCATAAATGAGGATAATGATACATTTTAAATAACTTGCTAAACAACTCCAGGTAGTGAAAGGTAGATCCAAGAGTCAGAGCTGGGAAAGGGTCATGCTAGGCCCTCAATAAATGATGCTCTCATTTTTCTCTCATTCTTCCTTTTCAGTATTGAGTATTGACAACTGATCTTACAGAAGATAAGACCCATAATCTTTCAAAAAATTATTGTTAATAGACCATGGATTTTTAAAAACATGTCTTAGCATTTTTTAAACCAGAAAATTGCATTAGATAGAACATCCTCTTCTCAGTGAATTTTGGATAATCAAGGAGTTACCATGTAAAATAAACATACCCAAGTTAATACATCTTGAAAACATACAGATTTTCAGCATTTTTGACAGTGGTAATGTAAGTTTTAGAAACAGAAATTCTGAACAAATGAATTAAAAATCAATATTTATGGAAAACTTGTAATGTCCAAATTCCTTAGTGTGTCTAGTTCTGCAAGCTGTGGGAGCCCCTGAAGAAAGCCTGGCGAGGTTATGGTGGCCAAGTGGAGCTTTGAAATAGTTGATGTTGGGCCAGGTGTGGTGGCTCATGCCTATAATCCCAGCACTTTGGGAGGCTGAGGCAGGTGGATCGCGAAGTCAAGAGTTCAAGTGACCAAGATGGTGAAACCCTGTCTCTACTAAAAATACAAAAAAATTAGCCAGGCGTGGTGGTGGGTGCCTGTAACCCCAGATCCTCAGGAGGCTGAGGCAGGAGAATTGCTTGAACCCGGGAGGCGGAGGTTGCAGTGAGCCGGTATCATGCCACTGCACTCCAGCCTGGGCGACAGGGAGAGCCTTTTGTCTCAAAAAAAAAAAAAATTAGCCAGTGTTTGTGGACTGCAGCACATTAGACTGTAGAACAAACCCACAGGTTCCATTAGTAACCCTGCAAATGGCCACCACCTCTGGTCTCAGATGACGGAGATTCTCACGTGAAGAGGGGTCAGCTGAAACCATTCATCTAATTATGCACATGTCTCCTTAGGGAAAGGAAAGTGTTCCTTAAATAAATTAGAGGAATCTTTACTTTTATATTTCTCAGCAATATGCATATTGAAGATGAGATATTCTTGGTCTTTATAAAATGAATACTAAAGTAGAGGAGAAAACAGCTGTTTAAGGGATGCATCAACTTGTAAAATTTAAGAAAACATGGGCAAAGCAGTCTAGGTTCCAAATAGTCTATGCATCCTTTAAGATGTGAATAGAAACAAAAAACGCCCTCTATGTTTACACTACATCCCACACTTAGAAACTAGAGGATCAAATGAAGCAGAATTTATCATTCAAAGCCAGGTCTGAAATGCCACTTGTTCCATTGTATCTTTTCCTTCTCCTTAGCTGGGGGACATGTCTCCTTCCTCTAAATTCTAACATTCTACCTGAACCTCCTCTGTCACTTAACATTCATCTCTTTTGTATCCTAATTATGTATGTGCAGAACTGATCTCCCTGATGGGACTGAAAGGTCCTTGAATTGAGCATCTGGGCCTCGTTCATTCCCACTGCCTGATTCATTTTTCACTCTAGGTCTGTTTCACTTCAAATTCCATACTCCTTTTAACGGTACTACGCCTCCCCTCTTTTCTTCTTAGTCTGAGATGACTCCGTAGAGGAGGGTTTGAAGTCCAAATCTAGATGGAGTTGGGAGTCAGGCAAAAAGGAAGTTGGAATTGAGGGAGGATAGCAATAAAGCATTTACTTTCTAGGAAAGCTAAAGTTTGTAACAGTTTAATGTTTACATTAATGTTACATCACAAGGAGAGCTAAAGTTGTAATGTTTACGCTAAAATGAGGTACAGAACACAACAATGTGGATCCCTTTCCTCCCTCCCTCCCTCTTTCTTTTCTTTTCTCTTTTTTCTTTTCTTTCTCTTCTCTCTCCTTCCTTCCTTTCTTCCTTCCTCTCTTCTCTTTTCCTTTTCCTCCTTCCTCTCTTCTCTTTTCCTTTTCCTCCTTCCTTCCTTTTCCTTTTCCTCCTTCCTTCCTTTCTTTCTCTTTCTTCCTTTTCCCCTCCCTCCCTCCCTCCCTTCCTCCCTTTCTCCCTCCC